ACCTCTTCTTCAAGATCCAGGGCCTCAAACTCTTCTCAGTTCTGTCTAGTGACAGAACAAGTGGCAATGGTCACAAACTGGAACACAGGAGGTTCAACTTAAGCGTAACGGAAAAAACGTACTTTATTGTGAGGGTGACAGAGCACTGGACCAGGCTGCCCAGAGAGGTTGTGGAGTCTCCTCCTCTGGGGACATTCAAAACCCACCTGGACGTGTTCCTGTGTGACCTAGTCTGGGTGATCCTGCTCTGGCAGGGGGTTTGGACTGGATGATCTTCAGAGGTCCCTTCCAACCCCTACCTACCATTCTGTGATTTAACTCCAGTCTAGACAAAGCCACTACAGCTACATTGTAGTTTAGTGATTTTGAAACAATAAAGAAAAAAGTTATTCTTTTGTTAATTGTGTGTATATTATCCATTTGTAATTTTATATTACTCACGATCTTAGTTTGAAGTAACTCATTTAACTCTCCTTTATATGCATTTGTCAGCCATTACATTTGTCAGGACATCATTACTCAGTTTCTGCAGTGTCATTTGGAAGTAAAACCAATCCACTTCTTGTCTGCTCTGCTTCTCGTGAACGTGTGATAGTGTGGAATCTTGATGAATGCGCACAGAAAATACAGGAAGGTAGAGTCTTATTTCTGGGGGGATGTTGAATGCTGTGTTGGGCAAAGGGGGTCGAGGGACCCACCAGAGCAGACCCGGGAGCTGGCCAAGGAGCTGCACAGGAACTGCCGACTGCTTGCATCCTCGGGGGAAGCGCAGAGACACACTGCAGAGGCAGTTAAGTTCTACTGCTGTGGGTTAAAAGGGTCATTTTTAATCATAGTGACACTGCATATCTAAGCGTGCAGTGCCAAAAAAACCAAATGCTACTTTTTCTTGAATAATTAATCTGTAGTACAAGTGTTTTGCATCCTGCTTTGTCTTGTCCTGCCTCTCCTTCTGCCACTGTGTCATTCACTGTTGTCATGTACATGTGGGAGCAATGTGAGTATGTGTTTGGGGAGGAGAGTGCATGAGTGAAAGAGAGCTATGATGACCTAACACAAAGAATACACGAGTTCTAGTATCCCATCCAGCATCTTGGTTTGGAGCCTCAACCAATGAAGTCTAGGGAGCAGTGCTAATGCCTCTTCAAGCTTAAATCAATTGGAAGGTAGAGGAATAATGAAAGAGAAAGAAAGGGAGCAAGACCGCCAGAGTCATAACTCACTGGAACCCCAGTGACACTTTGTCCAAAATATATTGTTATGGCATGATAATTGAGAGGTATTGCACTCCCCGTTTGGTGTCAATGTTGAGAATCACATGGCATTATCCAACACTATTTAAGTTTTCTCCTTGTCACCTTTAGTTAGAGATTTGCCTATGAGTCATTACATGGGAGTTGTTCCTTGTACTCTGCTCCACACTTAATTTGCAAGTCTACATATTATGAAAATTATTGTTGTAAAGAAGACAGAACATTTTAAGTGCTTTTATAATAAATGTCATTATTACATTTTAATTCATGTAAAAGTAGCATAGAAAATCAAATTTCCATTTTATGGGACTATGAATTTGAAGGAAAAAACATGGAAGTTAGAAATAGACAGTAGCAGACAGATAAAGAGTATGTGTAGTTTTAATACAAAGACATTTGAGAGCCAGATTCTCTACTGCTGGATTTTCTCTTTCTGTTCCCTGTAACCTCAGGCTCTTCAGCCGATGCTGTGTAGTCTCTCTCTCTCTCCAAATGGTGCTCTGAAGAGTCTTGGCATGTTTTCTCTGACCATACTGTTATCAACTGTATCAAGTAGTTAAGGAGTTCTTTCTGTGCTCCATCTCTCCATCCTGGTAGATCTTGACATATTTATCAATTGTAGAAGCACTCCACAGCATCTAGGATGAAACCTAGAAAAGGCCAAGTATAGTTGCTGTGCCTGTATCCTAGATAATTTGTTACTTATTGAATCCTAAAATGTAATGGGATATCCAAAATGTCCTCACATAGTTAAAGGTAACATCATAAAATAGAGATCTGCGGAAACTAGCTGCTTGAAGCAGTGAGTTGACCAGAATAAAGTCATGAAGAGAGGGATGAAACATGAGCCTGTTCTCAAAGCTAGTCTTATCATCTGAGTGTAATGATATTCAGTGGTGTACTTCCTCTTTCAGCCCTTTCCCACAGAACAATTAAAGCCAAGAGGAGGAAAATTCCTCTTGCTTGATGGCTGAGTGACTGAGATGTTCTCCTGGAAGAAGTACTTTTCAAACCCTTGTTTTGCTGGGCTTCTGTCAGGATTTCTTGCCTCCAAAATGAATGTGGCAATATGAGGTTCCTTGGGCACATCACCTTGCTCTAAAAATCCTGTCCCTGGCAATCTTCGATGGAAATATGATTTGATGGGCACACTTATTATTAGCATGTCAAAAGGTACATGTCTAGGCAACCGGGCAGATGAAGGAATCCAGATGGTGCATAGTTCTTTGCTTTGCTTTTCAATAGCTTGATGTAATTAAACTGTAGGTTGTTCTATGCATCTTCCTGACAGAAACTGGAAGAGCTTTGTGGTTAGATAACAGCTATGCAAAGTTTCCAAGGATCTCAGTGAACCAGAGTTTTATATTTCATTGAGTCTCAATAACAATAAAATTGCTTCAGGGTTAACACCTCGAGGAATTGTTACAGGAACTCTTTTGGGAATGGTGCTTCATGTACGATTTAGTCCGGGTGATCAACAAGTGGCAGTATGTGCTGGAAATCGGATCTACATGTCAAGTGCAAAGGTGAGATGCCATTCTTTGTAGCCATGGTGCTGGTATTTCTTTAATTTATTAACTTTCAAATAAAATAATGATACAGAAATGTCAGAATACATATTCATTTTACTCATACAGATGAAGATAATTATGAACTAATTAATTCTTGATAATGTATCATACACTAGATAGAAGACTAGATTAAAAAAAGATGAAGTAAAACAATACCTCAGTAATTTGTAAGAACAAAACAATCAGATGACATCTGAAAAATTTGTATCATTCATTCTGATGAAGCAAATGTAAAATGTTGTGGTTTTGCCAGCAGGATGCTATACAGGGCTGCAGTTTCAATAAGAAAAATCTTACTGAATGAATACTTTTAATCCAAATCTGACAATTTATGGCAACCGTTATGAATTATTAAATCTTGTAACTAATTTTAATTTTCAGTTTGAACTATAATCTGTTCTTATTTTGGCTTGACTAATCACAGAAAGAAGCTATACTAGCTGAATTGGATGGTCACCTGGCTCCAGTGACTGCTGCTGAGTTTTGCACACGGGAGAAAAGTATGCTTATATCTGTGTCAGAGGACAGAACCTTTAAGGCAAGGAAATTGTAGAGCTGCACTTTGAAAAATATTATTTTGTGAATATGTGAAGTAGTCTTTTGTTCCCTTTAAATATCTTGTGAAGATTAAGCAAAAAACATCTTTGACTTTATAGAGATCAGGACATTGTTCTTAGAGTTGCTTGGGAAGTTATTTTGAAAAGATCAATGCAGATTTTGGTTTTTCAAATAGCGATGTGTTAATACTTGTGGCTATTATTGTCTGGCAAATGGAAATAAAATATTTTCATCAGTTTGGCTTTAACTGAAATGTTTCAGTATGCTGAACC